GAGTATGGGAGAGAGTTAGGAGATACGGAAGGAAGAGAGGGAGAGGAGAGGGAGAGAAGAGAGAGGTAGAATGAGGGGAGAGAGGGAGAGGGGGTACGATAGGGGAGAGGGAGGGGAGTGAAAGGAGAGAGAATGAAAGTAGAATGAGGGAGTGAAAGATGAGAGAGGGAGGGAGAGGAGAGAGGAAGATAAAGACGGACGGGTCTGAGAGGGAGATGAGCGAGAGGGATGACGACTTAGAGGTTGATAAGAAAGAGAGAGGAAAGAGGGATAAGAGAGTAGGAGATGAGAGAGCGAGATGTGAGGTAGGAAAATGAGAGAAGGGGAGATGGCAGAGGGAGAGAAGACGGAGAGATGGACAGCGGGTGGAGGGCGAAGTAGAGAAACAGGGAGATGGTGCTCACATCGCCGTCGCCGTCGTCGTGGTCGTCGCTGAGGTCGCTCTCCGCCGCGGGGTCGAGCAGTGGCATGAACTCGGCCTGCTCCACCGACACCTCCACGTGGTCCGTGGACACCGGCGGCCCGCCCGTCTGGTACTGCTTGCTAGCCGCCGTGTACGGCAGCTCCACCGGGAACACCTCGTCCCAGTACTGGTCCTTCACCATCTCCGGGTGCTCCTGGTGCATCTCGTCCACGATGACGTACGACACCTGCGGCACACGCCCACCCGCCGCGCTCGCTCTCGCGCTCGCTCTCGGCCGCGCCCCGCCCGCCACCGCGCGGAACGAAACCATTCGCTCCAACAACCACGTAACCTTTCTATCTCAACAGATCATATTCATTGTGACTTAATGGTTACAGTATCATCTACATTAAATTATAATATATTTCTTAATTTAACATTCGAATTACTTATGTTATCGTTTTTTAACATGACACAAAAGTTGAAAGATGAATTTTAAACGTTGAGCAACAAGAGACGAATAATAACAAAAACTGTTAACAATACTACATTACGCAGAAACTGTTACTTAATGGTAATGATATTTATTCAATATTCAATATTTATCAAAATACATAATTTATTCTAACTCATGATTATTTTGGAAGAGGCAAGAAGAAACAGTGTCACAGAAAAAGGCAAATATAGATAGGAAGTGGAGAGACCGAGATAGCACTGACAGCAGAGAGATGGGGGAGTTATGTGATGTATTGTGGTTCATAAACAAATTAACATTGGCGACTGCTACCGAAATGAAATGAAATGTTGAATAGCACGCTAGCAAGAATTGTTCGGGATTCTAATAACTCGGTTTTCGAATAAGGAAAGTGCATCAGCAGCAACCTCGCTTAACTGCTTCTAAAATGATTGTTCTGAAATGATAGTATTTACTAGGCTGTCCGGGTGACGCCGCGTCTATGGCGAAGGTGCCGACGTTTCGGTCGCCATTCTGCGACCTTCCTCAAGCGTAAAGCCCCTAGTTGAAATTATGTTTAACCGCAAACATAGGTAGAATAAATAGAAAAAGAGTATAAGGGCAAAATGAGTCAGGAGAAAATACTATACTAAAATCGTCCTGCAGGAGAAAGTCTACCGATAGTAATATCTAAAAAAAATTGCAATACTAAGAAAATGGAAGATATATCAGGCTATTTTGTTGCCAATTATTAAACCATCAAAGCTAAGAAAAGACGTGAAAAAAATAGGTGAAGAATGTTAGTAATAAACAAAAATCGAACAACGAGCGGAATTACAATGACGTATGATTGATAAATAAGTAGTACCTTGTGCTCCGTCAACGCACCTGGAGGTTGCGATCCACCAGCCAGTTGAGCTCGAAGTCGTCATCGTCCTCGCCGAAGGGGTTCACCAGGGACTCGGCCACCTTCAGCCACCCCATGTAGAAGAAGAACTGCGACGCAAAATGAAAGCACGTCTACTTTGCCAAGAACGAGATATTATTTTAAACTCTAATCACAAAATATGAGTCTGGAACACGCAGGATAGCTCACGGAGTTATGATTTTTAAAATGGCTTTTTGTAGCGGAATTTGAATTGCAAGTACTGATGTGTGACAAGTGGAGGATCGCGACGCACATATACGTCTTACGATTACAATCGCGCGCCGGTGCTGAGAAGGTGATTGGGAGGCAAAGGTAGTTCTTGCACTACATCTTGCGAATATGCTTCTATTTCGAGTCACATAGAAACATCTTTCTGTTCCAACAAGAAGTTATTCTGGCCACAGAAATTTGGTTGATAGCACACATAATTTGCGAAGTGTCGGTTTGCTTGTGGCCAGGCGATAGGTAAAGGGTGAAGTTCGTTTCCAAAACAAAGGGGAAAAGAAAAAAATGTTTAATTCCTCTTTTTATAAGTTGTGGTAGGAGTAGAGCTGGTAGATCTGAGTTTCTATTTTGTTAGTAATGCAACCTACAAAAACGTAGAAGTCCTACACGTTGTCTCACAGTTATTTAAAGACAAAGTTAGATAGTCTCTTCATCCATGATAAAATAAAGTACAATCGATTGTCGAATAGATTTTAACAAAAGTTTCGGACTCCATATTTTACCATGTTTTTAAATTTTATTTTTCATTTCCAAATTGTACGCGAAAAGTTGAAAAGGTAAAGATGAAAAAATCACTATTGAAACCTATAACTGAAATTCACGAAATTTAGTATTAAATGAAAAGATCCACTGGTTACTGGTCATTCGTTACTAATTCCCATATCCATTATAAGATGCAATTATTTTTTTACCAACCCTATTGGAAGGCAAAACTATCATTAATCTTGGGCATATAAGCTATCACTACCCCGCAGTGCAGTGTTACAATGAACGAACGTAAGGTAATATAATGTTTAGGTTTTCTTTCCTAATAATAAATACTGTCTAAATAACTATTCCTGAATCAATAGTTGTGCGAGCTCTCTGTCTGTCTGTCTCTCTCTCTTTTGGAGCCGACGACAAATGAATCACCTGATGCACAGGTTATCTTACTAAATAGCAATTCTCTAAATTGTTCGTCAGTAAAACTGAGAAGCTAATCACACATTCCATGTAATTACGAGTTGAAGTTTCCTTTTTAACTTCCCTTGTTCCTTCCGTCGCCGGGGTGTGACCTTGCCACCGGTCAGGGTCCGTTACGCAGATTTTAGTCGATACCGACCCTCTCCCACGCACCTGGATTCCGAGTTTAACCAACGGTCACGTCGGTTGGATGATTCTTGCAGTGTTCCCCGAGTAATGTAGGGCTGAGACCAAAATCTCTATTGAGCTTTTGCAATCCTGACCAGACGAACGCCTTCCTCCAATCTCCTCTCGCCAATATTACGTTCCATTTCCTTGTTTACGGGTCGCCGGTCACACTCAGAAAGCCGAGCGCTCTCAAAACGTGAGTTCGGGAAGCGACCGCATCGATTCATTTGTCGATCGCCTGAACGATGCCGATACGCTAGCGCTGACGGCGTCCAGTGCCTTAACTATGTGGAGGTACGCGTCTGTACGGTCGCACTATTCAGAGATTTTGTTGTCAGAGCACGTCGATCAAGGTTGTTAAATTACTTCAGGTTTCGAGTTGCATTAAGAAAAGATTTCTTTTCGAGCCCTGGGCCTGCGCGCACTGACCTGCAAGAATGTGAAGACCGGCACGACGAGGTCCACCTGGTGCTTGGGGTAGTTCTTGGTGGGGTCGAGGAACTGGTTGCCCATGAGGGACGCCACGAAGTACACGTACACTGCGAGCGTCACCACCTGTAAGCACAGCGGCGGCGCTGGGAGAGGGGCGTGGCAAGCGAGCGGATCCAGAAGCCTCACAGACCACAGGCACCTCCGGTACAAGATGCGGAACATGCTTTTTGCGATATTTCGGCTGAGAGAAGGGCCCCTCTAGGTTATGAGAAAAGGAGATACATGATTTAATGTTATGTGGTGAAAGGGAGAAAGCCTTGAGGAATATGGAGATAATGCGCTTGGGGTATCGCGATCTAATAAAGATGACAAACGTTTTGACCAAGAATGAAGATTATTGTCTGAGACATGCAGGGAAAAGAAAAGAATATTTGATAGGAAAATTCGGTATTGGTAGTTCTTGATGGATTTTTACATTTTTAATCTATTTACTTTTATAAAAAAAATACTGACCATTTTAAATATTGCCACTGCAACACAAGTTGCGGCTGCTTTAACTTTTCTGAGTAGTGATTTTTAATTACACTAGATTTTGAGATGAAACATGAAATCAATTGTTAAAATCCCTTAACGAATGAAGTAAATAAATTAGTGAACATGGAGAATTTATTTCTCAAATATTATAACGAAAATTCATAACAACATATTTATAGCAATTGCTAAGAATCAAAGTGGCCTTCCAGTGCAAACGCCAATCAAGGAATGGTTGGTGCCACGCCATACAAACGGAACGCTTCGTGCTAGAATAAAAGGGTGGGGGCAGGCACCTGCGTGTATACGAGCGGGATGCTGATCCAGTCGTAGTTGAGCATGCCGCCGCAGCCGCCGCGGAACGTGTTGAGCTCGTCGATGAGCGTCTTGGTGGCGTGGTCGTCCTTGACGCGGCCCTCCTTGCGCGCGCGCGTCACGATGCCGCCGGCCCACACCAGCGGCATCCAGTACTTGGGGTGCGTCGTCTTCTGGTCCAGGTCCTCGAAGATCTTCTTCTCGTTGGGCTGCATGAAGCCGGCCTCCACCAGGTGGTCGAGCGTCGGGAAGCGCTTCTTGACGCGCGGGCTCATCATGCGCAGCGTGATCACCAGGCACAGGTTCACGTAGCGAATGATGGTGCGCCGCATCAGCCGCCCGCGGTCGTCCTGCGCGGCCGAACACACTCACATTACGACATTACGTGAACTCCTGCTCATGCAACAGAGCAGCTGCTGGAATGGGATTGATTGATTAATGATTCCGGGCTGCTAACTGCTTAGTTTCGTACGAGTGGAGCATTCTTTCATCGCGGGGGATAGCTGATATCTTGGGTTCGTAGGCTTCCGCGGCCGGAGTCAATGTCTTCTTGGCTATCCGGGATGAGCCGCGTCTCGGGCAATTGTACTGACGTTTCGGCCATCTTGCTGTGGCCTTCTTTAGAGCATTTAGTACAATTGACCGAGACGCGGCTCATCCCGAATAGCCAAGAATACAGCTGATATCTTCCCCCGCTGGCTGGCGAGGTACAGCACCGACAGACGTTTTGCGGGGGTTTCCCCCATCAGGTACCTTCCTCCAGCGAGGTATCGCCCCAGCAGGGACACGCTCGAAGCTCCCGTTGCTCTCTCGACAGGTGTGATGTTGCAGTGCATGAGAGTGTAAGTAGGAGGTGTGTAAGAAAAGGGTGAGGACCTGTAAGGGAAGAGGAAGGTAAGATCGCGCGCGGTCCGTGGCTCGTTTGTTAGGGTACTACTCCGGAATTTGCCTGGTGTTCATCGGAGAAACCAGGTGAAACTACCGATGAGAGCCGCTGGCCAATAGAATTCTCCTTCGCACATCGAGTGCATTCATCCTAGATCTATCATGCCAGTCGGGACCCGAACACTAGGGCCTTCTGGTCAGTGGCATTACAGTGACATCAATCGATGCCCTGAGCCACCTTTGCTGGCGGCCCTCTTGGAGCTCGGCTCTTATCTGCAGGCAACTCTGTGTGGCCCTCTGCTTGTCGACTCAGCCCAATACACTATGGTTTCTGAGACCCGATAGCCAAAATGTAATTTTTCAACTTTCATAAATTAATTCTCTGTGTACTGTAATGTGAATTAAATACATCAAAGTTAACTGTTTTGGACCCATTTTGGTGATTGTAACGCGCTTTGGCAAGGCGCGCTTGTGAAGTCGGATAATACCCGTTCAGCCTCCGCGCCGAAGTGCAAGCCGTCAAAACAAGGTGAAGTTTAAAATGTACTTTCTTTGCATACTTACTCTGTTTCATTTGAAATTGATCATTTGGTTATCCCCCATGAATGTATTTTTCATAGCAATTAGTTTTAATGCACAATTGATATTTCCTAAAAAATGCCCTTTTGTGTGAATTTTAGTTCTATTGCCGATAATTTCCAAATTTGCATTGTTTTTTTAAAAATTGAGAGGATTTGACGGGCTTTGGGCACGACTTATTCTGTAACTAGGTTATTGTTAATCATCTTCCTCCAAGTTCGAGCTGTGACCAAGTGCAACACAATCACAACACTCTCAACAAATTATTGTGTTTTCTTTAGACATGCATCGTTTCGGAAATGAACGCTCATTCGATTTGTGGCGAACAGTTCGTGATAGAGATGAACAGATTACCTAATTAACGTCTATGTAATTAAGAATATTAAAAATAGAGCTAATTCATTGATTGAAAAGAAAATTTGGTTCAAAAATTTCCGTTAATACGAAAATGTTGAAAAAATGTCGTATAAAGATAAACGCCGAGAATTTGTTTTCACAATAAGTTATTCTCGTTCAAGGCTATCTTCATCATTAAGATGAAGCCAATGCCATCATCTTCCTCATCTGGTAAACATCATCTTTTTTTTGCAAAAAATCAATTAGGACAAAAGGTGGCCAGTGGTCACCTTCCCAGTAGTTACACGAAAAGCATGTGGTTTAAATGTTCAAGCGGCAAGTATTGCAGTACATTACGAAAGAAACTGAGAAAACAGTAGTTTTTAAATAATATAGACACTAAAAAAGATAAAAAATGAGAGGACTGTGTTTCAAGAGAAAACAAAATTGCATGCACATCAAGAAGCGCTGGAGTTTATTTTAGAAAACAATTTAAATAATGATCAATATTTGAGTAAAAAGCAATAATTAACTTAAAGAAATAATTTAAGAGAGCAGACAAAAATGCAGAGTAGTATCTATCCCGACTACAAGAAGATTTGAAATTGTGACAATGTATGTATATAACGTACATGTAGGCCATAACTATAAACGTCACAGATGCGGACATTGTTCTACAAAATATTTTGGAAAACAAAATTGGGTCTCGGAAACCATAGTGCAATGGGGAGGCCGATTGGGCGTGTCGGCTCTAGTCTAGTGAAATACGCATGGTGCGCGGACAATTGCAGCGGGCCACCGTCTGCAGTCTGACCCGAATTTGCTGTCTCCGCAGCGACTCCGATTGGCAGGTCCTATTGTTTGAGTCCCGACTGTGATAGTATTTTCGACAATAGCTATATACTCGTGGTGAGGTCGAATTCAATCTCTAGAGGACAATTCTAGCGGCCGGCTGAACTGATCGGTAGTTTTCGTGGTCTCATGTACTGACGCCAGTCGATTGCTAGAGCAGTACCCTAACAAACAGGCTACGAACCGTGCGGGAGCTATTCTGCCTGTTCCTTGACATATCCTCACCCCCTTACCCATAGTTACACTAACATGCACTACACTGTCACACGCATCCGGGGATGAGTCGGGAGCATAGAGCCATTTCAGGCTGGGATGAGGTACCTGGAAGGGGTAATCGCTGGCAAGGCGTCTTGTAGGTCGGCGCTGGATCTCACAACCCAGTGGGGGAAGAACTCCGCCACCTCCCGCGATGCAACATTCGCTACACTAACGGGAGTAATAATTCCAGCAGCTGACACGCCCGGAAAAATCAATCAAACAGGCCCCAAATTATTTTCTACAGCGTCACCCACCTGCCCGTGCACGAGTGTGGAGACGAACATGGCGAGGTTGTCGGGCCAGGGCATGCAGATGTACTGCTCCCACCATCGCTTGATGACGATGGACACATAGAAACCCAGCACGAAAGCGATGGGGATAAGGTCTCCGTACGCCTGGCAGTGTAGCGACACCTTCTCGAATAACCTGAAGACATATCCAACGGCATCAAGTGTATGTACGTGTGTGTGTCGAGTGGAGTTCACTGTCATTCAATGATGCATTGTTTGGAAACCAACGGTTTTTCCTTTATGGAAGTTAAATATAAATAACAAATTATTATGTGTCTCCCAAATAAATTCTCATGCTCCGTGATACTCAATGAGCATCATCAAGTTCATTATTTCATAATCATTTCTGTAAAATTTTGTAATCATATTACATAATGTTCTGACTGCTATGGACTAAAATGCGGCAGTGAGTGTAACCCCCAGGTTGGATCAGATTATTAAAGTGCTGTGACGCAGATCCACTTACTCTCGCTGTTGATCGTTCAGCACAAAGCGATAAATGCCGCTGAGACTGAAGTACACCACGGAGTACACCACAAGGTTGGGCCACAGCAGCTTGTAGATGCTACCACGCCACCTGTGAACACAGTAACATACGGCACATTGAATTCTTTTCATCCAGGCTCATTGCGATGTATATTCGGGACTGAATGCCAGAACCACCATTATTCTAAATACAGTAGTTATAACGTGAATAATAAACATACTTCTGGTAATTTACACGATGTTTGCAACGAATATACACCAGGTTTTTAGGACAAGCCCGAATAAATTTACCACTATATGCATAATTGCACGCTCAATATTGCCAAAAAACAGTGGAAGATATCTAGGGCACGCAATTATTGTTGACATAATCATCGTGTTAATTGATTTTGCATTAATGTCACAACTCGCCCAAGGGAACGATCTTCACCCGTTGAAAATAAAGCTTTTTTTAACACGCCGTGCGCAAACCATGGTTTCTCGTGCTTGTTTTTCGTGTGGGAAACAGCTATTTTTTTCACAGTGTGCAAAACATCGCGAAGGGTGTGCGAAACATCTGTAACGATTCGCAATAGTCTTTCGTCTTGAAGACGTCTTTGATTATTATTTACAAACAATAGTGTTACGACACTGACTGGAATCTATTTACGTTAAAGAGAAGGTTCTTTCTAGTTATTTAATATTTAATTCATATTTATACTTGAAGCATTGCGTTTCGCTCTCGGTCTGTTAGAATAGAGTATACGGAACACGGGCGCAAGGTGATTTCCGCACTCGTCTGTTTGTCGTCGACAACAAACTCGACTCGTGCGTGAATCACCTGCTTCGCGCCCTTGTTACGTAATCTGTTACGTATTCTCTACGGCAGTCGATGCTGATCTTGTATTTAAGTCCGAGCGACGAAACGTTGTCCGCTCGGTAGCCGACGTCAATCACTCCGTCCAGCCTTCTTCAGAGCCGGCTAAGCTCTCGACTGAGCGGCCTAGCGCGTCGGCGCCTGAACGGCCGCGATCCCGCGCGAGGCGCCCACCTGAAGAGCAGCTTCCAGAAGCAGCCCAGGCCGCGGCACGTGGCCACTTCGGCGGTGTACGTGATGGTCATGGCGGCGCCCTGGAGCCGCCTCGCGCAGCCGCCTCAGCCGCCTCTGCCGCCCTCCGCCGCTGCAGGCGCCCCTGCGGCCACACGCGGACGACACGGGTTACAGCAACAGATACTATCCACTCGAAACCACTCACAACACCAACACAGAATGGCATAGTCACATTTAAACAATAGGCATGCAGTATATGTTCATAAAAATGTGAATAATTAGACATTCAATTATTTTTCAGAATATTGTAGTGAATTTCAGACTATTCGAATACATGTTTCATTTTAAAAAAATATCAAAAATTACCTTGCATTATTAACTTAATATATTTCAATTATTACATTAAAATCAAGCGAATAATGCAAAACTTAAAATTTAAATTTTTTTACATGTTTTGTAATGCTATTTTTTTTTTCAAGTCTTATTTTATAAATTAAGGGCTTACGGTTCAAGAAGCAGTGAAACTAGTGGGAATACGCGTCATAACAAAACTTTTCTTCCTCTGTCTCCAGTCATTACACAACAACACTAATATTTTTTTAAAAGTGCATGTCATTTAAAATATCTAAAAATGAGAGACAAAATTGAGAAAGGCATCTCTTGCTTTAATATTAGAAGTGCAGGACAAGCTCGAAAATAATTTGAACTTCGCAATATTCAAAATTTCATAGGTTTGTAATGAAAATGAAATTCGCAAATATACAAGTTTTAAAAATTCACTTTCTTCTATTCCAGCGGGAAAAAAAATAATATTTTTCCCAGAAAGTTTGGAAAATGTCACAGGACGTTTATGTAAAGTACTGCCTCCAAAAACTAAAATATCATAATAATCTCCGTAACGGCATAGCTATATCTTACTCCTGACGTATTCAGCAAGTTTTACGTCAAAGGTTTCTTATCTCACAGAGTTACGCGTTAGAGACACTCCCATCCATCCATGCAGACACACACATATTCCGATTTTCAGGTACAAATTGCTTGTATTTCTTCGTTACCTGAACAAATCTTAACTATCTTTGGAACAGTAATAATATTTCTTAATCCTAATGGGTGTGAAAAGGTTCAGATTAAAAAAATCGAATTTTTTAGGTGATTCAAATACTTTTACTATTTTTACTAGTGTAGGAGATAACACTTTTAAAGAGTAGCGTTCATAATGATATTTTGGGCAAACGTCAAATCGATGATGGTGAATTGAACAGACTTCACATAATTTCAACTAATTAATTTCTTAACGCTCATAGTATTCAAGATTGTCTTGCAGTACTGACATGTCTCATGAATACAATTAGCACAATAGATCCCCCCTTCCTCGAGTATAAATACTTACATGCTATTTAAAAAGACTCCCTAAACACATGTCTCCAACGTAGCCTTTTATAATTTTTTTTGCTGAACCCAAGTCTATTTGTAGCATGGTCCACTTCTATCTAGTTATTACCAACGACAGCGCCGCAAGATGCTCTGCACAGCCTTGTGAGACTTCGATGCCTGTCGATATCGTATGCTTGCGCTGTGCCGGCTCTGGTGAGTGAGTATTCGAGTTGATATTTCGAGAGTGCCTGAGCGCAACCAATATTTAGGTCATTACAGTACGTACATGCAGCCTCGTGGCTAGCTGTTGGTCAGCTTGCTCGCTTTCCACTACGCGGTCCCGGGATCGATTCCCGGTGAGGCAAGATTAGAGAGTGCGTTCTCCTTGCAATGTCTCAGTAAATGTTGCTTTGTGATGAGAAAATTCACTTCTCAGGTTGAGAAGACCGGAATACGGCGTAGGGATGTCTACGTGCTAAACACACGTACCCCCTTAACTCATGGTTGAGAGGCAGAGATGTCGCCGGTAGTCCTCAGCCCCTTCACGTGCTGTCGCGTCTAGTATATACTACATACATAGTACGTACATGTAGTCCGGGAGGTGGCGGAATTTCCTTCCTCACTGAAACAAGATCCGGCGCAAGTTTCTTCCTTTCCTCTTCCTCTTCCAAGTACTTCTTCGGGCGTCAGCAGGGTCACATTCGAAGATCCTGACTGATTTCCCGTCATATGTAATAGAATAGTATACGTAGTGTATGTATAGAGAGGAAAAAAAAGGATAAAGAAAAAAGGTCGCGCGTCGCCCGCGGCCCGTTTGTTAGGGGTTGTCTCCAGTATTCACCAGGTATTGATCGGAAAAAGCATGGAAAACTAATTATCTGAGCAACCGGTCAATAGAATTCTCCTCCAAACAATGGTTGAATTCCATCCAGCTAGAGAAAGTGTAAAACATTTTCCACAGTCGGGTCTGGAACTCGATCAATGATTCTGCATATGCTACAGTTTTGCCATTGGCCCATTGCATCGATTTGACTCTAGTGTTTCTGGCATTTTGGAATTGTTTTGTCCTGCTTTTTATAAGCGACTAAAGCCCTTGTTAGAGTTTACGGGGAAGTTTAATGTACACGTATACTACGATTATCAAGTGGTCCAAACACAATTTTTCAACAACCCAAACACGTCAATTTACTAAACGTCACGTCACCATTATCGCTTTTCATGTTATATATAGTTCTCAATTTCATAATTTCAATGCCACCTCTCTCAACGTTCTTCCCCTTGAAAGTCTTGGGCTCGACTAATTTTAAGCGCCTCGCACGGCAGAAAAGCGACCGGTTTCGCCGCCCACGTTCGCCCGACGGCCGATTCAATAGCGCGCTGAGTCAGAGCTATCTTAAGCCTCACTTTCCGTACCTTACGGACGGAGCACAGATCTCAACATGCTTTGTAGGGTTGAAAACATTGCAATATCTTTTGGGACAAGATTTCATTCCGATCCAAATCATGAGCGAGAGCATCAATATTGGTAGGAAATGTGACATTCATCCAATGAGATAGAAAAGGGTTATCTTAAAACATATAGTTTTGTTCATATTATATCCAAGAACATCCTATTTAACAACAGTGTACATTAGAATATATTACATATCAATATCAGCAGGTGCAATTCGATAGATTTGTCCGCAATATTAACAATGAATCGAAAATACATTTATTTCTTGGTAAGTTGTAATCAAGGACATCAATAACACAATCTGTAAAAACGATGACATTAACCGAGAAAAACGGGAGTCCATGCCCCTGTCTCGCATGAAAGACACTTTGCCAAGTAACTAACTTCACCGTCGTCGGGCGACAGAGGGGAGATCAAAGGGCGCGAAATGTCAATATGAGGCAACGAAGGAAACGGACACACATGCATTACTACAATTTACTTTCATCAGCATTTCCACTTGTCAGCGGTTCAAGCCTTCTCCATCCTTCTCTATCTATTCTTCTTTCATGCATGATTTTAAGTATTCCTGAATTCCAGGGTTTCCGAAGCCTTCCTCTTTTCATCCTTCCTGGAGGAGACCAATTGAGGACATTCTTAATGTAGGCCATCATGAATCTGACACTCCTCTCAGATGGCCATACAATTGCAGCGTTTTACTTCCTAATCTGTCCACATCAGATTTCATTTTCCGCAACCGTTCTCTGATCTAATTTTCTGCATTCTAGAAGTTCGGCTGCTCCTCCGTAGTCCATCCATTTCTACTGCATACAAATTCTGCTTCTCACGTTCCGTCAGGGTCCACCTCTCCAATATAGTTTTGAATACTTTCAATAATACTTCTTAAAATAATCTTTTTTGTTCTTGCGTGAATTTCCTGATTACATAATACCCACTTCAACATTCTTATGGCTTCTTTTGCCTGTGTAACGCGGTCATCAATATCCTTTTCACTATTTCCACCCTGCTGCAGGATTGTACGTTCGTAATTGAACTGTTTCAACGCCGTATCTGCCAGCAAGGAGCGAAGCTGCGTCGTGCCAAGTAGCTCCGCAGGCCGAGGAGCATGGACGAGGGACGAGGGGCGCGGGGCGCGGGGGCGAGGGCAGGGGCACGTGGCGTGGGGGCGAGGGGGCGGTGGGGCGACGGGGCGTGGGAGCGAGGGGCGAGGGGCGAGGGGCGAGGGGCCGAAGGCGTGGGCGAGGGGCGAGGAGCGTGGGGGCGGAGGGGCGTGGGGCGAGGGGCGTGAGTCGGGGGGCGAAGGGCGAGGGGCCGTGGGGCGAGGGGCGTGAGTCGTGGGGCGAAGGTCGAGGGGCGGGGGGGCCCTGGGCGTGGCGGGGGCGGGAGCCGAAGGGGCGAGAAGGCCAGGGGCGTGGGGCGAGGCGCGAGGGGCGTGGGCGGAGCGCGGCCGAGCGGAGAAGGTTCCGCCAAGAGTGCCAGCGGCCGGCCCAAGGCGGCCCGCCGCCGTCGGCGACGTCCCACGGGCGCGCTCGGGGGGGGGGGGGGGCGGATCAATGGGCGGCGCACGCGAGCGCCTTCGCCTCCCAATCGCCCGCGGGCGGCGGCGCGGGCTCCGCCAGTCGCAATCTTGTTAGCTATCACGCTTTCGATACTTCGATTTACTTGTGGTGTCCTTTAACAGTTCATCGGCTGTTACGGTGTCATCCAATCAGCAGCTTCAATACCACTACAGTTATGTCACTATGGTGACGTTCAAGTTCCCGATTGGACGACACCGTAACAGGTGATGAACTGTCAAAGGACACCAGAAGTAAATTGAAGTATACTTTCTTGAAGAGTATTCGAAGAATGTAATGCTGCAGGGAAAGTTGTGTAACACTGCAGGGAAAAGTGCAGATTTTTAAAAGAAAAAGGCATCTTGTACTTTATTACTTATATACACAAAAGTACTATATTATTTAACCGCGTATCCGTAATGCAGTCAGTACTCATGTTCTGGAGATCCCTGATAACGAGAAAGTGTTTTTTTCTCAAAACGATTCTGTCCAACAGTTTCTCTATCTGTGGAGCAGACTAGCTCCCTCCTTACGAGTACCAATCTAAACCAAGAAGGGTACGCTAATCTCTGGACCCCCTAGCCAGTGAATATTTTATTTCCATACGACATATTTGACGAGAAAATAAATCATACTACAATAACAAAGAAATAATAATCGTAATGATACAATTATTTATTTGTTGAACAAGTTCTATACAGGTTGGCAAATGGCTTGGAGAGCCATTTCCACAAATAACTTGCCTGATTAAAAAGGGAAAAA